ATTTATCTTTTTCTCTTCTTTATTTAATTATTTTTTATTTGTTTTAAATATTCAACTTCATGATTCATATATAATTATTTATTTAATTGCTACTCCTAGTATTCATAACTCTCATGCTTTTCATATACATAACTTCCAACTATTTAATTTAAAACATTAAGATATCTTTTGATATTCCTCCATTTTTTTCTATATAATTCATCTTTTTTATTTTATGAGACCCTTACCCAAGATCATTCTTTCCATTATGTACTAAAGTAGTGAAGCATTTATCACTATTGTGTTAATTTGATTCATGCTTTAATTAACTTGATGAATGAGACTCTTGGATTTTTATTGGTTGTGAAAGGAGTCAACAGGAACTCGAAAAATTATGTATTGATTCTATATATTACTTTTTTCCATCTATATTGTTATGATTAAAGACTTGAGAAGGAAATGTATGTTGGTATTTTTTCTTCTCTATTTATTTTCTGTGTTTTCTTTCTATTAGAGTCATTTTATTTTATTTTCTATAATTTTTTATTGTTACAAGTTTTTTATTTGGATTCAACTTAGTCATTTGTGACTTCAAAGTATGCTAACTACTAATCAAAGTTGAAACTTTACATGTTTTCATAGAATTTTAATCATTCTAATATATCTATAAAAAGTTACTTAGAGACATACATGTGTTGCACACGTCCAGATACTAGTATGAGTAAACCTAAATAAGTCCTTATTGATTGACTCTTCAATATTCTTGTGCAAGTGAAGAAATATTCATATAGAGCATGTGATTGAATCTTTGTGCGGATTACAAACTAATTTGAAGGTATGCTTTTTTCTGAACTTTATTTCTTATGTTGTTAATGTGATTATTGCATTATTTGTACATATAATATGTTCAAGTTAATACAGTTTTGTCTGAAAAAAGCTTATATGAAAAGAAAATAAAAACGATTACATGCATGATGCAACAAAGAACAGCATACTTGAGATATAATATATATATATATATATATATATGATTTAAATAGATATAATTTTATTTTAATGTCAGTTGTTACTTTTTATATTTTTTTTTCCTTCTATACAATTTTAGTAATTAATGTAAGCCACATGTGCAAAGCTAGTACACTAAACTATAATAGACAACTATCATTTATTATTTTTCTCAAACTATTATTTAATTATTTTATAATATTAACTATAATCTTGAAAAGAAATAAGAAGTCCTAAAAACTATAGGCACAAGAAAATATTAATATTAGTAGATCTTCTTTTTATCCTTGTATATGTAAAAAAGGAAATCCTAAAAGATATGTTAAAAGAAGAAAAGAGAAACTATAAGGCAATGCGCTAAGAAATTAAAGTTTTGTATGTTTGAGTTGTTAACATGTTGATGTGGATTGTAGGGTAAGGGGTCGTTTGGTTTGAAAATGAGTTATGATGGGATAAGTTATGTTGGGATAAGTTATGTTGGGATTAGTTATGATGGGATAAGTTGTGTTGGGATTATTTTTTATTGAGTGTTTGGTTTGTTATATTCAAAATAATAAATTTTAAGAACAATTTATTTATTTACAAAAATGCCCTTCATTAAGGTAAAAAGTGATACAACAAAAGGGTTGAAAGAGACATTTTTGTCATTTACCTATTTTATCCCGGGATAAGTTATCCCGGGATTACTATACCACCCAAGGAGAGGGATAACTTATCCCGGTACTAATTATTAATCCCGGGATAAGTTATCCCGAACTTGCCAACCAAACAACAAAATAAGCGGTACTATAATTTAATCCCGGGACTATTTGGTATTATCCCTTACACCAAACGAGTCCTAAGAGTATTCCAGATTGAAGGAAGTAAAAAATTAGCAAGTTGCCGTGTTGATAGATTTTAGTATTTTTCGTGTTGTTGTTTATGCATTGCAAAATTCCAAACATTATTTTAAACCAAGTTCTGAGGCACGTTTTTCATCTTTTTCGTCTTTCTTTAGTTTTTTTAGTTAATTGAGTTTCTTTTTTCCTTGTATACATAAAAAAAATCCTAAAATATGTGATATATTTTCCTTTTTTCCTAATAAATATCAAGAGATTAAATATGGATAAAATATTTATTTCAAATTTTTTTTGATTTATTAATCACTCCACTTCTATAAAGGGATTTGTCACCATCTTAACGATTTTGTCTCAATGTCTACTTCATCAACTGATAATTGACATACTAGGGGTCTAAATAGTTTTGACTTTTTTTTAACGTAATAAATACACACATGCAAAGCATGTACTCTAAACTAGTATGCTCTAAAAGTGCACTTCCTATAAAGCTAGGAAAAAGGCTCAAATATGCCATGATTGCCATTGAAATTTGAGAAAAGACGCATCTATGCCATACGTTAAAAGTTTGGCTCATCTATGTCATTTCCATTTGAGAAAATACTCATTCATGCCATTATTTGTTAACTAAAACCAATTTGTACACGTGGTCAATAATGATTTGACCACGTCATTAATTAGACTTTTTTAAAGGAGAAAAGACTCAAATATGACATCAAACTTTGAGAAAAAAGCTCATCTATGCCCTTTTAGTTAACAAATAATGGCATAAATGAACCTTTTTCTCAAACGAAAATGACATAGATGAGCCGATAACAACAAAAATAAACATGTCACTCTTCCAGGGAAATGTTGAAGTCAATTTTCCAAAATGGAAATTAGCAGAGCTTGAGATTGAGTTTTAGAATCACATCTATTAGTACTTTAATACTACTAAAATAATATGATTGCTTCCCTAATATTCACTATTCCTGAGGCATACCACCAACACACTGACGATTATATTATCAAGCAGCAACAAGGATGACCAAACATTTCAAGAAAATCACCATTAGCACAAGGATCATGAAGCTTGTAATGCATCTCTTGAAATTCTTCCCTGTATATACTTCCTACTCCATAAAGACTTTGATATTTCCTCATGTTTTGGAGAACTTACAAAAGTTTTGAAGAACACATAAGATCAGAGATTTTAACCTAAGTTTTCATTGCATAGCTACTGTCTCAGGTACCAGCAAGAATCATATCCTTTTCTGCTCTTCGATCCCTCTTAAAATAGTCTAAGGTTCTAGCGAGAATCATATTCTTTTCAGTTCTTCAACCCTCTTAAAGTACATATTCCCTACCCCAATTTTGGTAAGTCCTACAGGGCACTAGTGCCAAAGGTAAGGTACGTAGCTCTGTTAGTATTTTCATAAAAAGTAATCCCAAAGTGGACATAAACTTAATTTTTTGAAAGTTCCAAACCTTTATTGATATAGAAGTGGGTCCCTGTCACTTTTTGAGTAGGGAAATAGTATTCAATGAGTCTTCAACTTTAACTTTATCAAAAAAAAAATAGTATTCAATGAGTGAATATGGACAAACTTCCCATATAATCCAAATATAAAACATAGGATAACTAATTTGAAATAAAGGGAGTAAGCAAGTAAATGAAACACGGAGCATATGTCAAAAAGTGTACAATCAAAACAAATTAAGCACGGCAGACATGTCTTGCTGGACCGAATAAGGCCAAAAAAAATCAAACAAACACTAAAGGTATCCACAGACTGACAAATTCATGAAAGTAAGAATGACAAACAATATAAAGAAGTAACCTTTAACAACCAGCTTCAATAATTTTAATAAACTATATCATAACAACCATGGTCAGAACTGTACTTGCCTCTATGTGTGTGTGTGTGTGTGTGTGTGTGTGTGTGTGTGTGTGTGTGTGTGTGTGTGTGTGTGTGTGTGTGTGTGTGTGTGTGTGTGTGTGTGTGTGTGTGTGTGTGTGTGTGTGTGTGTGTGTGTGTGTGTGTGTGTGTGTGTGTGTGTGTGTGTGTGTGTGTGTGTGTGTGTGTGTGTGTGTGTGTGTGTGTGTGTGTGTGTGTGTGTGTGTGTGTGTGTGTGTGTGTGTGTGTGTGTGTGTGTGTGTGTGTGTGTGGAGACCACAATCTTAAAGTAGTCATAAAATGAGAAATAAAGATTTAAGGCCAAACCTCCAAGCGTTGTAGGTCAGTTACAGCTGAGGCCTCCTTCACATTTGTCAGGTTGTAGATGTTTAGCAGATTATCCCAGCTTGGAACCATCCTGCTTGTGATTAAGCCATTAGCAACTGCACCAGGATAGAGCATGGCCTTCACTAATGGAAGAGGAAAGATCTCACTGGAAATCAACTGGGAAGAAGTGACTTCCATAGGCGTTGAGCACATACCAGATCTGCATGGCACCCTGAAGGAAGATATTTGGAGAAGGAGTAAGCAATAATGGAGAATTCTTGTCAGAGATGTTTCTTTTCCAATTATAAAACATAGTAAAAGCTACTAAACACTCCGATTAATCACAAAAGAGAAGTGAGGAAACTTTGTTACACTAATCTAGTTTATAAATTTGTTACCCAGTATAGTCCCACAAGTAGGGTGTGGAGAGGATAGAGTGTACGAAGACATTACCCCTACCTTGGCAGGTAGAGTCGTAGAGATATTGTTTCCGATAAGATTATGATTCTTAGCAATCAACATAAATTAATCTAGTACAGAAACTTGTGATTCCAAACTTGAGAATAGCATCTCATTGTCCCCGTGATAAAACACATTCGTTTATTAGAGATCAATAATTTTGGAAACAATTCCAACCAGCCATAACAGTGAGGTCAAGCATGCACAGTGTTTTGGACGGCGAGAGGCGACAAAAGGCCACAAGGGCTTGCCCCGCCACGCGGCGAGGCGCTCGCCTTTTTGAATCGAGGCGCCAATTAATACCAAAAAATTAAAAATTTTAATTGCATATATAAATATCCAAAAATCTTAATAGCAATAACATATATTAGCAAACATTTCAATTCAAAAACTAATAGTAGATATCAAAAGTCTAGAACTTGAATGAACCAATAATTCAAAATACTCTATTAATTAGTATAAAACTAAATTAAGTAGGAAAGAAATAATTATAGAAGAATTAAATTATTTTTTAAAAAAAAAAATATAGGCCAAGCAGCAGAGCACTTCAACATAACAGAAGAACAAAGCACTCAGTTCACACTTCACCACCAGTCTACCACTAAAAATAGAGGGTCTGAAAAACAGAGCAGCATAGTCGTACTGCTGAAAAACAGAGAAGAAGAAGAAAAGAAGGGAAGAACTAGAAGAGAAGAAGAGATTCGCGTAAGTCTCCAGGGGTCATACCTGAATAGCAGTCGCGTAAGTCGTACCTGAGCAGCAGCGTCGTGATTCGCAAAGGTCACGTAAGTCTCTAGGGGTCGTGACTTGCAAAATCTGAGGAGAAGAGGAGGAGAAGCAGCCGCGACGCTTAATCTGAGGTGAGTGTGCAAAATTACCCAAAAAAAAACCCTAATTTTGGCTTTTAATTATTAAATCTGACTTTTAAAGAAAAAAAAAAAAGGTGACGCCTATTGCATCACCACGTCACGTCGCCATGGCACGCCTTTTTGAATTCGCCACGCCTTGCTGGAAATAGGCGGAGAGGCCTCGCCTCGCCACACCTCGTCACCAAAGGTGAAAGGCGCTCGCCTTTAAGAACACTAAGCATGCATGAGAAGTGTTGTCTGAAACAAGAGGGGAAAAAGGAGGAAACTTCTTACTGACGTGGTTTATTAACAATGAACAACAGGGATTTCTTATATAGCACCTAAGGATGTGACTAAATGGTCACTAAAGTGGGGAACGCATTGTCGATGTGGCACTGACTAAAGTGACATGTCGAGGATAACATGCCTCTATTAAGGCACTAACATGAAATATAACTTGTTGAACAATGACGTAATGCAAACTGAGAAGTTACATGCTGCTGGACGACGACAAGAATATAACGAGTTTTTGGATAGTGGTGTGTCATTAATGAGTCGTTACTAGAGCAGCAATGTGGCATTGCCCAATGGCTTGGCTCGAGAAAGATGCTGACTGAAGAGATTTGTTGCTTGACGCCAATGTGGCGCTAACTGGAAATGGAAACGTATGGCAGGACAGGCACGTGGTGTTGACAGGAAACTATTGCTCTATGCAACGTGGTACTTATTGAAGATGACATGTCACTTGACAATAATGATTACATGTCAATTGAATGATGGCATCTCAACTGACTCGTTCTAGCTGACTGATAATGTGTCAGCCGACCGGAGGATGACATGTTATCATACTGGAGAATAATGTGTCAGCTAAATCGATGGTGGCATAAAATAGAGCCCTAATAAAAGTAAAATGGCCGGAATAGGCCCAAAAATATATTCAAAAGAGATGAAAAGAGAAGTATTATCGAACAATCACGGGAAAAGACAAACATTCACTGCAAAGGAGAAAAAATGCTCTCGAAGCAGGCACCGAAAAAAGATCATACTAGCAAAATTTATGACAAGAAAGAAGAATTTTGACCGGGTAGACAAAGTAAGTCCTCTCACCACTAGGCAGAAGCTACTGAAGCAGTCAATATCACGTCTAGACTCTGCCCAAATAAAATAATGAATCCAATCCGCCACTAGTCTAAGGATCATAGCGTCTTTCCTTTTTGACTATTCTTTTACATAAAGTTACTCATCGAACTAGTAAAAATATGCTTGTCGAATTTTGAAACTTACATGAGGTGGCTTCAATTTCGTCCAAGACCTATTACAGAAGCCAAACTCTATCCTCGTAACATAATGCCTGGCTGAGCATGACCACTCTTTATGGTCCGAATAAACCTCCATTCAAGAACAAGAATGAGCTTAAACCTTACTTGGGTAACTAATTCATATCATAACTTCAATATCTCAGGTTTAAGCAAAGCTTTGTTTAATCACACCACTCACTCACAAGATGAAATTCAGATGATCAAATTAATAAATTAATTAAGACTGTCAAAACTTGCCTTACTATTTCTATCCCAAATGACTCAAATAATCAGCATCATGCTGAGAGCTTAGTTAGTGCGTGCAGATTTTAAGCTTGACATCTCTGCTTCAGACCGTGGTGTTACAAAATCACTCTCCGCTTTATCATAAAAGAAAAAGGAGAAAAGGTTTCACACTATTCCATACATGAGGCAAGTGATGCTCTTTCATATATTAAGCATTTCAGTCAATCCAAATGTCCTAAAATATTAGATCGTTTTCCCTGAAATGCAATGGCAAAACAAAAAAAAATTATATCTGAGAAATAAATCGCTTAGGTAAGTGGAGGAAACATGTTTTGTGCCATTCAAGCAAGAGGAACTGCAGCAACAAATCAAGCAAGTTCTCAGTTTGAGTATGACACACAGTGAACTGATCAAGAAAGCACTATTTGGTCTGGTAGAGGTCATTAACATTGATACCAGAATGGAACCACCCTAACCTGAAAACGATGTAAGCTCTTCAAGCTCTATAGCTTCCCTACAAAAGACTAGAAAAGTAATACTCTAAGGGTGTGTTCAGTTGGTAAAAAAATTTGGAAAATATTTTATTAGAAAAAGAAGCTCCTTAAAAATAAGGAACCCCCACCCCCCCACTCACAATCACCCACCCACCCACCAACCCCCATCCTCATAGTTTTGTCTTAGATATATACCAAATGCTTTTAGGATAATTTTTTGACTTGCATACCGGATACAAGACAATTTTTCCTTTTTTTTTTTGAAATTGGTAACTTTGTACCGAACACAAGACAATAAATAAGCACTTGTTTTCCGAGAAAATGTTTCCTTGGAAAATACTTTCCTCCATACCGAACACACCCTAAGACTTTGGCTAGCTAAGATGAGAGGGGGCAAAATTTCCTCACTCTTTTTTTTCCTTTTTATCTTTTTGGGGCAGGAAGGATGGGGAAGAGACAGGTAAGATGACAGGCAAAGATTCGAGCGAATAAGCCCATAAATCGTAGAACTGCAAAATCCTCAAGCTCTCTATCCTTTTTCTCAAGTAAGAATTAGAAGTCCAAGGCACAAAATATCTCCTAATGAATAAGTGTAAAAGCAATGTGAACTAGATGTACAATAAAAACATGAAAAGGCCATAAGCAAATAACCAAACTCCGTCCCTTTCATAAATAAGGTTAGAAAAATGTCTTTCCAGGAAAGCAAAAGTTTGTTGTTGTCAATTTTATGAGCAATAAAGAGAAAACAGGGGAAATGTTTGCAGATAACCATAAGAGACTAAAAGAAGATACCTTCAATCATATTTGTTGAAGGCCTAACTTGTTATCAATCATTTTTCTTGAAGGCCACACTTGTTATCAATCATTTTAAGCAAAACAGAGTTTCCAATAGGGATCCCAAAACCATTTTCCGAAAAAAAAATTCCTCACACGGCAACCTTCCTGGAAATCACCCTCCTTCCTCTTAAGGAAAACCCACAACAACTAATCTTCTATATCCACACCCAAAAAGACACCTAACTAAGATGAGTAGCAGAGATGATATCAATTTGCTTGAATGTGACTAAATACTCTCAGTCACCACTTACCATGTTCAAAATATAATTGACGCGAGTACTCATTCACCGTGCTCAAAACTAACTGATCCATCACTAACACTGAGACAAGTTAACAGACTCAAAAAACATAAATAATGTGATTAGAAACATCAATACTACCCCAATTACTTTTCCAAATGAGAACCATTGTAAGTTCAAAATTAACAATCAAAATCCACACCATCAAGAAGCATATAATGGAACCATAGCACTTGGTCTAAGAGGGAAAATGTAGTATTATCTGAAAACTGGAGATTAGAGACGGCTTAGCCCAACCAAAGTTGCAAAAGTTGAAGCATATTAACTTGTAAAGTAAGAGTTGAGATGAAAAGTAAGACGTAAATTGAGATAATAGGTGTAAGAAGGAGAGTAAGAAAAACAAATAAAATGCAGCAGGAGTAGAAATATAGATGCATTAGAAAGTGGAAATTTGGGATGGCAGATACAAAGGAAGTGGGATTTAAACAAGTAGCTAATATCTAAACGGAACTTGCAAAAGTTATGGAACACATTCAAGAGAATTTACACACTGAATTCAAGATCTAGGCGACTTTAATGCAAGATTGTTGGAAATACAAAATTATACTAACTTGTACTAAAACAAAGCTAGATTTAATTGAATGAACCAGATCTACACATAATCGAACTTAGTAGAATAAACAATCTGGATCAAGAATTTTCAACCATCTCAAGTTTGCAGTTATACCTGAACAAAGGGACCTGAAGGAAGATGAGGACAAAGAAAATTCTAGAAGCATATTTCGAGAGGTTGCTCCATCTTCCTTTTGATGTTGAAACATTCGCCATTTCCTAATTTCCGAGCCAGGGAGAGCCCTTTTTCGGACTCCAACCTATATATATATAACTCCAACCATTTGCGTAAGTATTCAATAACCATATTAGATCTAGGGAAAATGGTATGATATGATCCTCGTTATGAAGTAGCTCATATATATCTTTACCGTTATATAAATGGCTCATATATATCTCTATCGTTATAAAATGAGCTCTCATATATGCTTCATTTAACGGAAGTGAAAAAATTAGTTTTAGATTTATATTTTTGACTTTTGATTTCTTAAAAAAAAAATTAGGGGTATATATGATTTTTCTAGAAAATTTCAAGGTATATTTTAATTTTTTTTGGACATAGATTATTTTTTGACTTTTTTATTATCATTATTTGAGTTTCTTATTCTTATTTTATTTTTTCTTTCATTCCTTAGTGTAAAGAAAAAAATTTAAAACTATTTTTTTGTGTGGCTATTATAATTTAAAACTATATTTTCGGATATATTGTAATTTAACTTTTGTATTTGAATAAAAAAATTGGGTCATCTATGATAAATTTTACAAGAATATTAGAAAAACTTAAACAAATTTTACCATCAAAATAATAAATCTAAATTAGTCATTGAAACAAAAAAATAATTAAAAAAATAATATATGTTTGAGGAGGATTAAATATACCCATATGGGATTATATTTTTTAAAAATAATTTAAAAAATTAAACTAAAATTAATTTTTTCACTTCCGTTAGAGGAAAATGGTATATGTGAGTCATTTGTATAACATTAGGGGTATATATGTGTCACTTTTATAACGAGGGATATATTAGCTCTAAATGACAAAGTTGAGGGGTATATCAGACCCTTTTCCCTTAGATATATATCTCATAATCTAAATATTTATATAATTTATTTATACTATATGATAATAGATAAAATTTGAGGTCAATCAATTTTTGAATGATTTTTAATATTTTAATTTGTGATTTACACTTCTTTTGTTCTAAAATAAATGTGTTTGAATATTTTAATTTTCTTTAAAACAAATAGTGTTTAAGATTATTTTTTTTGGTTAAAAGGTGGGACAGACACCTCATTTATTAATTAAAATTGTACCCAAAACCAGGTCCAAAATAGACCTAGTCAAAACACCCCTACCAGCTATCTAAATCTGGAAAAAAGAAACTAAAAATGAAAAACTAAAACTAAAAAAATCAAACAGGACAGCTGGAGGTGAAATCGGAATCCACCATCACCTTCTTCATCAGATCTCTTACGACAGAGCACAAGGCTCGACTCTTTCAGCATCGAATTAAGCCACAATTGTGTAGAGGTCAGTTTTGGAAACAAAGTCTGAGTTTTGGAGGTATTTCACATCGGGCGTTGTAAATCTCACCAACGCCATGAAATCGTTCCCACCAGAGACTTCTCCAACTCAAATATTTCCTGGTTTGAGCTTCTTAACAATATTGTATTTCGATTTTCTTTCTTTCAATACATGTCATACCATTTTAGTTCAAAACAACCTTCCTTCTTCATCCTTGACATCCTTGACAGATTGAGCTCAACAAAGAACTAATACCACTACCTAAGGATTTAGAAAGAGAGCTACATTGAACGAAACCAAGTACGTTGCTTCCCTTCTCTATTTATGTCATGTATTATCACTTTAACCAATATACTGCTACCAGATCATTTGAATCTTGATGACTTGTGGATATGTAAATGTATCTGCAAAATGCACTACTTGATTTCTTCTATCCTCCCTAAATTCGAAAATTCCCATTCTGGAAACTAAGGTTTGGTATCTGATTCTTATCCATGTTTAATAATGTCTTGAAAAGTGTTAAAAGATATTCCCTTAGTACATGCAAAAGAAAAAACTAGATTAGCTAAAAAAAATCCGCCACTTTGTTTCCCTCCCTCAACGTGTGTTCAATGGCCACCTCCATCACTTTCATGAGCACTTGAATTCTTTTAATCTCCAATACAACTTCCCAAGGGGTATCCCAAGAACCATCAACCATATTCTTAACAACTTGAGAATCAGTTTCCAATATTAAAGGGAATAAGTTGTTTACCCTGCAGTATTTTATACCCATTCTCAAAGCCACCACCTCTGCCACCAAGTTATCATTTCTTATGCAGAAAGCACTTGAACTTGGACCAGGATTACCTTTAGAGGCTCCATTAGAATTAATTTTGTATTCTCCCCTTCTAGGAATCTTTCAATACACAACTTTACACCCAATTCTAGGAGTATAATCTGTTAGGAACCTTATCAAATCCAACCAACTATCATGTATGTTGTGCATCCATGGATATAGGGACTTGTCTACGAAACATAAATTCCTAACTATTTCCCTCATCATATTTAAATAAGACATCTTCCCTCCATATCTAATTATGTTTATTCTCTTCCATACTTTCCACAGAATAAACATAGGTATATCTTTTAAGATAATCGGTTCCTTCTTCCATAACCAGAGCTCGGAGAAGAGCGAGTTATGTTGATGCATATGTGTTCCAACATTTGTAAACATTGTCTTTTAAATGTAGAAAAGGGTCCTCCACACCTACTGTATTAGCAAAATACCTCCATAATTAGTTGGACATTGGATATCTAATAAAAATGTTCAACAGACTCCTGCACCCCTCCCTCACAGCAAACACACACTACATTTTCACAAATTTTGTACAATATGAGAACTTCCCCTATAGGTAACCTATTTCTCCAGAGTCTCCATATTAAAAAGGATACCTTGAAAGGGATACCCTTCATCCAAATAAGCTTGCAGATCATACACAACTCTTATTTATCTCTCAAATACACCAGGCAGATCCCACAGAAAACATTCCAACTGCATTCAACATCCACCAAGGTTTGTCCTAGTGATCTATATCCTCTGTACAACTCAATTGTTGAATGATATGATTGTTGATCTCTTCTAAAAAATTGATATGCAACATATCAAAATTCCATTCTCCCTGTGAAAAACATAGACTAACCTCTTCCAGATGAATATTCCTAGGGGCAACAATAGGGAGATAATAGTGGAGGCCCCCCAACTGTGTCCAATTGTCATACCAGACACTTGATTGACCACATTTGGGTTCCCACCATATTTGTTAGTCAAACATTTCTTGAGCCTCCAACATGTATTTCCATGTTTGTGAACCACCTTTCCATTCCACCAACTGGGCCCTCACCCTTTTTTACAGTACTTATTCCACGTAAAGTTAGTCCATAAGGACTTCTGTGTTCCAAAAGTCCACCACAATTTTGCATAAAGGACCTTTGACACATCAAAAAGAGATCTAAAACGCAATCCACCTTCTTCTTTGGGTTTACAGATATCATTCCAAGTCACCCAGTGCATGTTTCTACCTGCAGTCCTGAAATTCCATAGAAATTTAGCAAACACTCTATGTAAATCATGAATCACACATCTTGGAGGATTAATGACAGATAAGAGATAAATAGGGATACTATTGAGAACATTTTTTTTATTAAAACTGTTTTACCCCCAAAAGATAGCATCATACTCTTCCTAGCTTGGAGCTTATTTAGAACCTTTTTCATTATTTCAGCAAAGTACACCTTCCTTTTCTTGACATGTCCAATAGGACAACCCAGATACATCATAGGGAACTTACTTTTAGTAAAATCAATTTTCACTTCAATCTCCCTGATCAAATTCTGGGATGTCTTATGATAGACAAAGAATGAGCTCTTCTCCTTATTAATCATCTGCCCTGATTGATCCTCATAATCTTTTAGAGTTTGCATCAATATATCCAGAGATTTCTAATCAGTAGAGGTAAAAAAAAAATAGTATCATTGATACGCTCAAATTACACCTCCTTACAGAAGTATAAGCGATCGTTATCAAGTAAAGAACCCAACTTGTAGGTTGGGATCGATCCCACGAGGAAAATGGTTTAGACTTTACTTTAACTAACAATTATATTCAATTAGTCAAATTATTTCCAGAAACAGGTAATAAAAGGGGGGTTGTGTGTGCGTAAAACAAATAGTAAGAACTTAATAAGTAATCAATAATCAAACTCAACTTAGGTTGTTATCAAGATAAGAGAAATAACTAGGGTATACGTGTTCCCCACAATCTCATAACGCA